ACTTTTGGATTTTGATGAATTGTGAGAAATCCTTGAAGAATCATGATAAACCCTTGGTCAAATTATGAATAACACTTCAAAATGAGGATGTTGACCAACAATCTTGAAGTTTGACTGTATGTGGGCCACAATTGACTTTTGACCTAGTACAATTGATTTTCAGGCATTTGAGCAATTGACCGAGCAAACTTCTTCTACAAGGCTTGAAATTTGACATGGATGATCTTGATAACATATTAGGACAATGGTGAGCATTTTAGTCCTTTGTGGTTAACACATATTGATGAAAATAGAAACCCTAATTTGAGGTAGGCTGCCTTAGGAGAGAGTTTGTTTGGTCAACTCTTAAACTTCCTTGAGCAATTTGGGGACCTCACTTGCCATGTGTTGAGAAATATGGGAGGGCAAATTTTGGGGTACAACGATATGTGATGATATTGACGAGTAGTTTAGGTTTATTACAATTGAGTAGTAAGCTTAAGTATTTAACGAGTATATGAAATCCAATCCTAAGATCTCTATCCTATTCGAAGAATGAATTCTTTTCCTGTTATTAACTTTAATTCCCGCGCCTTACACTTTAAACCCATTTTAAAACCAAACTCATAAACGCGAGACTTGTCGAACGACAATTCAGTAACCATTATTCCTTGTGGAGATGATATGATAAAACTAAATAAATACTTACTTTTGTGTGCTGCTCTACCACTTCAACAACCTTGTCACTAAAGGATCCTTGATTAGATATTGGAAGCACCATGGCATATCTAGCCGAACCTAAGGAATAAGACATTGAGTTGGTTCGTTATCACTTAGTTATTCTTCTCCTAATCTATCACTAGACAAACTCTCATAACAACCAAATAGTTATATTTCTACAAATATTCAATCTCCTCTTCTTGTACCTCGTTGTGAACTTTGCATGAATTTAGTCTATAATTCACACCTCTTGGCGTCATTTCAGGGCTCCATGAACTTCCTATATGAGCCACACTCTAGAAAAAACACAGAAGAAAGAAGGTATTACCTAGTGTCGTGGTTGTATGTTAAAGATTCAAGACACAATAGAGAGAATGATGCAGAGATACTAGATCAAAATTTGTAATGTAAAGTGAAGAGATGGGAAAGTGAGAAACAATGAAGCCTATTTATAGGATTTAAGTGGAAGACAAAATGACTAATGCATTTAAAATTATCTTTTTAGGGTTTTAGGATATATGGTTAGGTAATGAGTTGATTCAATTTTCAGGATGTTTTACTATCATCACAACTAGGGTAAGTGGAACATTCTAATGACCAACGAAAATTGGCCAACCACGATCAGAGGTTGCCACATCTGGAAAATTAAAGCAAACTCGCCAAAAAAAGAATATCCATTAAAGTATGCTAGATAATTTCTGAATTGGTCTTGAGAAATAATTTTGTCATCACGCGACTCATGCTTCAGAGGATGTGTACATGTTTGTTTTATTTGTATGCCTTAGCAAAACATTTCTCCCTTACATGGCTCATACTTGAGGGGTTATGTACATATCTATTTTCTCAATAGGCCTTAGGAAAATATTTTTCTCTTACACCACTCATGATTGAAGAGGTGCCTACCTGTCTGATTTCTTGGTATGTCTAAGGAAAGAATTTTGTCGTTACACAACTCATACTTAAGGGAATGTGTACTTGTTCATTTTCTTGGTATGTCTTAGGAAATCATTTCTCCCTTACATAGCTCATGTTTGGGGAGTTGTGCACTTGCCCAATTTCTAGGGACAGATCAAAAAAATAAAATTGGTGGGGGCAAAATATTATATATATAAATAATAAATTATTTTTTACTATTATTATTATTATTATTATTATTATTATTATTATTAATGTTATTATTATTGTTATTGTTATTATTATTATTATGAGAAAAATGATATGCAATTACTTTACACTGTCAACTAATCACCACCATGTATTTTGTCAAGTCACTCTGATATTTTAAGTTAGTTGTGTGACATGGATGATTGGTGAATTTCTATTGAATGATAGTGTAAAACTATTTTATATTTTTTACTATTTTTATTCTCTATTATTATTATTATTATCTCTATTATTATTATTATATATATATATATATGTGTGTGTGTGTGTATGTGTGCGTGTGTGTGCGTGTGCGTGCGTGCGTGCGTGCGTGCGTGCGTGTGACTGTGTGCGCGTGCGTGCGTGCGTGCGTGTGTGCGTGTGTGTGAGATATTAATTAATTAGTTAAATTTGATAAAATAATTTAATTAATTAATTTTGTATAAAATTTAACTTTTATATTTTTAAATATAATTATTTATAATATTTATTATTAAAAATTAATTAATAATTTTTTTAATTTTTATTTCAGTCATATACCACTTTATTAAAAATAAATAATTTATTTTAATCATTTATGTCACATATGTAAAATTAGAAGGGACTTAAAAAAATCTCAAAAGAAAAGTTGATGAATCGAAAAGTTGGAATTTTTTAAAGGGGACTAGAAATTTAAAAACATATAAATTAAGGAACTAAAAATATATTTAAATTTTAATTTTAAAAGCAAGTTTACAAATAAATTATCGATCTTAATTGAGGCGTGGATAAGAGAAAAAGAGGAGGGGATTCTCTCGAGTAGAATTATCAGCGGAGAGTATGCAGTAGAATATATGGTGAAATAAAATCTGTTGATGAGATTCTACTGCAGAAAAATTTCACTGCGGAGAATCTCCACCCGAAAAAAAGTGGTTATGCAAGATGATAAAAGCATATGTAGAAAATTTAGATAAGTCAATAATGATGAAATCTTGAGAGAATGAGATAAGAATCTACATTTGATAGGGTTTGTGTCCCACATGAATGGGTTTGTCTCCCACGTGAATGAGAGAGTACTACTTAAATACTATATTTTATTTTATTTTTATTAAAAAGGTACACAATTTTTAATCACGAAATAATTCACGAGGAATTTTATCAACTATCAATTAAAAATTAATTGTATAAACTCTTTAAATTATCATTTCACTACAAATTTTTATATTAAAAAAACATTTAAATAATTAAAGTATATTTAATTTTTTTTTCATTCTTATCTTCTATTATAATATCATATGTGGTATTTATTTTTAACATTCACTATCTAAATCACAATTAAATATCACACTCATATTCTCTTTTTTAATTAAAATTTTAAATTTTTTTAACATTTCTTTTTTTCACACTTTTTTAATTTTATTTTAATTTTTTATTTATTTATTATCACTAATAGTACTAATAATTTATTTTTAATTTTAATAAAATTAAAATTTTATTTATCACACCGATTATTATTAATATTCTTTTAATTGGAAAGAAAAAATCTTTATTTTTAAATATTAATTTTTTTCACTCATAATTTTTTTTTGTATAATTATTTAATATAATTAAATTTATATAATTATTATTTATTTTATAATTAAGTAAATTATTTCAAATTTTACATTTGTATCTAAATATATTTTATATCGTATCAAATAATTTTTCATCTCATGAGTTATTATGAGCAAAATGTCAATTTTATTTTAATCAACAATTATTTTTATTTGAAAGACTATTTTTATATTTAAAAGTTAATTTTTTTCATTTTCTCACCATCACACGAGTCTTTTTTTATATAATTATTTAATACAATTGAATTTATAGATTATTATTTATTTATAATTAAATTATCATTTTAAATCTATATGTGTCTAAATATATTTTATACAATATCAAATATATATATTTAGACATTTTGAAATAGTAGAATTATATTTTAATCCTTATCCTTGAAAAGAAATTCCCTGATTATTTGAATTGAAATATAAAAGAGAGTTATTTTACTAGGTGATAATAATATTAAAAATATAATTGTTCAAAAAAATTAAATCTATTTCTATACTAATTTATATAGTCACTATATATAGTTGAAGAGTGATCGAGAATATACAAGATTTTCCGAATCGGTACTAACCGTCCGACCCAACAAACTCATGTACAAGTTGGTTGATTTGGGTTACTCGGTTTAATAAAAAATATTATCATTTCTTATCATACAGCTAGCACTGTACAGAAAGTACACACAAAATGCATGGTTGAGATTATATTTGAATCTTGTGCATTAACGCAATTTATCACCCCACGTTTTCATCATTTCTATTTTACATACATAGATTGAATCTACTCCCTCTTATTTATAGAAAAATATAACACCTGTAAAGTACATGTTAAAAAATTATTTATAACAATATTTTTTTTAATGTGTATATATATTTTTTTAATTTTAAATATAATTTTATTACTTTAAAATTTTTTAATTATAATATTATTAATATATGTCTTTAAAATCTATGTTAGACGTAAAAGTTTTTAAAATAAATTAGATTTAAATATAAATAAATGCCAACAAATTTAGATGCATTTAATTTTAAATTTATCTCTGCATTAATATTTTTAGTAGAGAATAGTTTAATTAAAGAATAGTAGTAATTATATTATCTCTATTGTATGAAATCAAAAATTAAATATATTTAAATATATTTTTTAATATATGTGAAAATTTTCTTTTTTACTTATAAATAAAGCCCATCAGAATAATTCATAGACAAGTATAGTGCAAAAGAAAAAAAAGAGAGAGAAAAATGGATAATGAGAGTGGAATTCCAATTTTAGATTTTCGAAAGAGTAGTGGAGTAACATTAGAAGAAGGAAGTGAAGGATGGAAAGAAATGAGTAAGAAAGTGCGAGAAGCATTAGAGAATCATGGTGCTTTTCATTTATGGTGTGATGAAATATCAAATGAATTACGTGAAAAAATGTTCACATGCATGAAATCTTTGTTTGAACTACCTGAGGAGACAAAGTTGAAGTTCTCTAACTCAAGAGGCTATGCCAAGAATCATGTTATTGGTCATTGTGAAAGCTTTAGGATTTATGATGCTCTTAAGCAAGATACAATTGAAAACTTCACTAATCTCATGTGGTCAAAAGGAAATCCAAATTTTTGGTAATTAATTATTTTATTTTACTTTGTTAATTTATCAATTTTTATTTATATTAAATATATTTTATTTTAGTAATTTTATTCTTTGGTAATGGAATGAGGTCCCTAATAGATTAAATATATGCAGTGAGACACTAAGTTCTTTGATCTCAAAAACAAGGGAACTAAGCTTATTTATCCTAAAGATGGTTGTGGAGGGCTTTGGCCTTCCAGAAAAGTACATTTCTGAAGTTGAAAAGTTGAATAGCCATAGTGATTCAAGAATGACAAGGTACCATCTTCCTGAAGAAAACAAAGATTCTGAAATTGCTTTGGTGCCCCACACTGACAGAGGCACCATGGCCATAATATTCCACAATGAAGTCCAAGGTTTGCAGGTGTTAACAAAATCGGGCAATTGGGCTAATGTAAATATTCCTCCAAATGGTTTTATTGTACTTGTTGGTGGTATGTTGAAGGTAATATCAAATTATTTATAAAGTGTGGAATGAATCTAATTTTTTTTCTTATAATAGTGATCAGAGATATACTATGTATTTTAATTACTTTAAATGCATCCTAAATTTTTTATAATAATTATAATTATTAATATATAGGCATGGAGCAATGGGAGAATCCAAGCACCAAAACACAGAGTGGTGACAAGAGGAGACAAAGAGAGATTGTCATTTATTCTTTTTGCTGTGCCAAATCAAGAAACACTCATTAAGGTGCCATCTGAATTGGTAAATGAAGATCACCCTCTTCGTTACAAGCCCTTCAAATATGAGCCTAGGAGTTAATAGGTTTTCAGTACTTGAACACATTGTTGGAATTTGATGTCATATTATATGATTTTCTTTATGTCATAATAATGCAGAGTATTTGGACTCTCACTTTTTTGTTGCTCGCAACAATAGTGAAAATTGAAAGAGGGTTTCAATCTCACTTTTGCAAAATTAAATAAAATGTATTTCTTTCTTTCGTATAATGCAAAATTATCTAAGTTTCTATGAGTTTCACTCTAATCTTATTTAAGTTTCTATGAGCAAACGAGTACTATTTTTCTTTTCAATTTCTCATTTTTTTAAATAAATTTTTTCTTCTTTTTTGTAAAATAAAAAAAGAGAAAGTTAAAAATAAATTTGTTTAGATATTTAATAAAAATAAAAAAAGTGATAATAAAATAGTTAAATAAATAAAATTGGAATAACATATGATTTCACTAAAAGTTAGCACAAATCATGTGTCAACTCATTAAAATATCCTATTAATATAAATAAAAATACTTTGAAAAATGAATTTTAGTTTATCATTAAAATTAATACAATTGGTTATTATTTTAAATTTTTTGTAAAATTAAAAAGAGATAGATTAATTATTTATACATGATTAATTAAATTATAAAAATAATAAATGTAAATTTCATATAATTCTATCTAGTATCATATTAAGTCATTATACGAATTTTACGATTTACCAACAGTAAAAATTTATTGATAAAGATTAAAATATGATTACTTTCGTCAATCATAATTTTCTATACCAATTATAAATTTTCGTCTTAACATGTTATACCAAAAACAATTTTTAGGTGTATGGTCTAATCAAATAGATCAAAATGCACCAATGAGTAGAAATATATAATTTATGAAGATGTTACTAAAAAATTACTTAGAAAGATACTTTATAAGTATCACATTTTCTATTTATTTGTTTTCCGAAAACTTCATAATTATGAGAGTCATAGTTTATCTCTAAATCTAATGTAGTATGAAATTATCTTTTCAAATACACGCCTGAGTTAATCCAAGCTCCATCAAAAGGTGAAAAAATAACCCTTTTTAAAGATGACACGTCCAGATTGATCTTTAAAAGAGTTGTATCCTTTAGTGGTAATTTTAGCATTATTAGTCTTCTCTGTATGATATTCCAATTTATCATTCAATTCAAAGCTTTAGTAGGCCCTTATTCAGCCTCTTCAATAATTGAGACTATTTATAAAGTTTTTAGCGTTGGGTCAATGATCTCTATTATAGGTTGAATATCCAGACTCATAATGAATGACTGTCAGGATTTCCACGTGAGAGTGAGGATGAGCAGCACATGCTCATCATCATGGGTCAATCGTTCTGAACTTCACGGATAGTGGCCTGACCACACCCGTTACAAAGGGTGCAACCGTTACTTTGTTATGCAAAGCGTGTTGAACAAGTTAATGACGTATCCTCGGATGAGGGGCACGTGAGAAACATGTCTTCAGATTGGGTCTCAATAGATTGGGAGATCATTTGGGTCGTTCTCGATGTAGGGGTGAGTTAGGTTGGGCCCGACAGTGAGCCAGCCATTGGCCCAATCCAGAACATGAGCCCCCCAAGTTGTTACTCCTAGGAGAAGGAGTAATGACTTAGAGTCAGCCTGTGTGTCGAGGAGGAAACAAGAGGGTTTGTGCGAGGCGAGCCTTCATTTACGCTCGCGATATTGTGCTCGCGATTGCTTGCCCCCGGCGACGATGTTCATAACGGGTCTTTATAATTCGTTAGCTAGTGCACACGAAGACGAAATATTTCCTGTGATTGGCGATGTTTTCCCTTTTCACGGACGATATAGTATGCAGGGATCACGGTTAAAAATTTAGCTCTTTCTCGCGTCGAGTGTTTGGCTTTGCCCGTGAATCACCATGTTGCTCGTAACTTTGCCTTGAGGTTTCTTCCAAGGGTGTGACCGTGCAGGAATACAAAAGTTTTTTGTGTTTCCGAGAGGGGATGCTCGACATCTAGGGAGCTAGAAGATTGGCGAATCTTGAAAAGACAAAAGTTATTTGTGCGGATGCTCTAACAAATCGTGGGTGTTCTGGACTGGGCCTGCCCTTGGCCCAACTACCAGTGAGGCCCAATCCAAGCTTACCAACCTATTGTGCTGAGCAGTATTCCCCCAAGCACATACCGACCATAGATGTCTTGTCGACCAAGACTGCTTCCCGTTGGTGCTCGCAAAGACCATCTCCAACGAGCATGCGCTCCTCCCGAGCACCTTCCTCGTAGGACTGACTTCCAACCTCTCCGGATTTTGCAGAGTCTTCATAGTCCTAGAAAGATCGCGTACCTATCCTCCCTGTTTTGCGGGGGACGTTATCTAAGTAGGGGGCCACGTGCGGGTCCCCACTACACACGTAGAACCTGGAAGTCTCTTTATTGGGCATGTTTGATCAGCCCAATAAAGAGACCTTGGCCCAACGCTGAGGGCTATAAATACCCTCTCTTCTGAGAGGGTCAGGTATTTAACTCATATATTAGAATTAACACTTACTTGCTTATTTCGCTTCTTACTTTGCCATCGAATTGTCTTGCAGGTACCCCCTCCCATCTCATTCAACTTCTGCCCGAGCCAGTTGTGACGGTCCATCTCTGATCCGGTAAGATCAGTGGCGCCATCTGTGGAAAACTTGCTTCCCCATCTTCTATTCACTTAAGACCAAAGCTAAACAATTCCCAACTGTCATGGCTGGCCAGACTCCATACAACATGAACGTCCGTGTCATGGACGTTAACAACAACACCACCGACAACAATGCCGACCTCGACAACACCGGTACCGTCGGCCATAACACAGCCCCGACATCAACATGCTCGGGCCTTCTGAATACAGAGATGGAGAAACTGCTTCGTCATTGTCTCTGCCTCGCCGACATGAAGACGATCGGCCACCTCCCCTGAACTTCCAACACATCCAGTTCCACGAGGTCCCCGTCCCCGTCGGGGCAGACGCCACGACCAAGGCACTGTTCGCGGCAATCAATCAAACCAACTACCTAATCTTCGCCCAGGGGGAAAGACTGAGGGTGCTCGAGGACGATCAGAGGCCCCCAAGAAGACACAAGAGACCTCAATCTCCCCCTCATCTACAAGCATAGGAACATCCCCAATCTCCTCCGCAGAGACATAATCGGGATATATCTCAAAGCCCGTCACCCCGACCACTCGGGCGATGACCCCCTTTGGAGAGGGAATAACTCGTTGATGCGGGAAGGCGCGATCACGACCCCTCGCGTCAAGAACGAAGACCCCCTGGATACAGGAACGAGGGAAACCACCAACAGTCATATCGCCCAAGGACCACCCCGCGCGAACAGGTCCATCTTGACCGCCACGACATCAGATATTCGTCTCGCTCGCCTGAAGAGTGTGACGAGGACGACCCCCGCGGTCCCTTGTCATAAGCTATCATGGATGTTCCCATTCCTCTGGGCATGGAGAAGCCTCCCCACCTGAAGGATATGATGGCATTGCCGACCTGATCGGCCATATAGATGGGTTTGAGGCCATGTTGCACTATCACAACATCGGGGGACTGATCAAATGTCGGTTGTTCCCCACGAATTTGAGGAAAGCTTCCATGGACCGGTACAAAGGTCTAGACCCGGGGTCAATTACCTCTTGGCAAAATCGGTAAAACCAATTCATCATCTCGTTCACTGCTTTGCAGCGACACCCGAAGACCGAAGCAGCCCTCGAGGCCATCATCCAGAGATACAATGAGACCCTGAGGGAATTCATTGACCGGTTCAACCGGGAGGCCATCCAGGTCCCCTGCATGGACCACGTGAAAAGATACCACCTTGAGAGGGGGCTCCTCCCGGGTACTGAATTCAGGAAAGCTGTAGGCATCGAATCTCCCCGGACATTCGATGCCCTCCTCGAGAAGGCCAAAGCTTATATGGACTACGAGAAGAGAGAAACGGCCAACAGAGCCCGAGATCCCAGGAATCATGGATCTACCAGTAATCCGCGACAAGACACCGCCCCTCCTCGACTAACTGGCGAGAAGAGAAGGGACGACAAACTCCGAGACGCCCGGGAACAAAGAGGGCCCCCAGGGAGGCTCACTAAATACACTCTGCTAACGACTTCACGCGAGCGCATCTTAGCGGAGTGCACAAATACAGACTTCAAGGACGACGGCGTCAAGGTTCCTCGCCCCGCTCCTGCTAAACCCGGGGTAGAGCGAAGAAAATACTGCCAGTATCACCGGAGCCACGGGCACTTGACCGAAGACCACGTCCACCTCAAGGACTCCATCGAGACCCTCATAAAGGGGGGAAAACTCGCACAATATCAGTGAAGCGACGCTCCTCGTCGGGATGCCCGTGAGATGAGGGAAGTAAAAGAGGATCCCCGACCATCTAATAAGTCAGTTCCCATCTAAACCGCGTTCTCCGTTACAAGACCTGAGGACTTCTACGTCCCCGGACATCTGCAAGAGCCTCTATCTATGCACAACAGGTGGGAAAACTTCCCCTCCGCCATGGTCATCAACGGTGGAGAATTTAATGATTTGACCATAAATTCAGCAAAGAGAAAGCTGGACGAACTGGTCTACGCGGCTCCCCCGCAAACGGTGACCTTCGAAAGGGTGAAAGGAAGATCAGAGGCGATCACCTTTTACATCGAGGAGCTTCCCGGGGGGGCCCTAATTCAGCCATCCCTCTTCTGATAAGGGAGAGAATGTCCTTGTTCGATGTACATCATGTCCTGGTCGACGAGGGAAGTTCCGTCGACGTGATGTACAACCAGTTGTTCAGAACCCTACAACTCGATGACTCTCACCTTTCATCATATGTGGGGTCATACCTACAGGGATTTAATGGCCCGACCTCCAAGCCGTGGGGGTATGTGGAGCTTATGGTCACATTCAGTGAGGATACCACTACCAGGCAGGTCAAGGTCCGCTTCCTCGTCATCGACTGCCCATACCTCTACAACTGCATCCTCGGGAGGCCAACACTGGCAAAGCTGACTGCGAT